CCATCAATATTCCTATTTTCAAATCACCTCTAGTACATAGGTATATTACACCAAACCGATATGCAAGCAACCACAAAATTTGTAGAGATGTCCCTACTAGTTTTACTGATAAGACTTCTTTATGATATGACTCTTCTTTTTTTGAATATATTTTTCTTTGGAACAGCAAAATGTAATTAAAATTCCACTTGATGAAGCGGGCATCGTGGCAATGAGCTACAGAAACTGCAACTTTATTTGTATAAAGGTACAACTTTATATAGTTTGGTTTTCTCAAACCTGCTGAGCTGTACGAAAGCTTTGAAGATATTTGCTGTTACCAAAACCTAGTTTTGGTGACCAGTGTATCGCTGCAACCTTAAGTTGCATGCATTCAACAAAATTTCATTTTCCAAAACACTGAGTATTAGAATAGAGAATTTTCTCGTTGGCTGAAAAAGCAATAATACTCCTGATTGCATATCGAGCTCATTATGCACATGACCAAAAAATAATATTGCATTTTCTTTAATGGTTGACCTCAAAGTTAAAGTACTTTCAGTTGCGAATAACTTCAGTAGAAAAATTACTGCAGCCGTTAGTGACTTGCTATTATGGAATCTTGCCAAAGAAATTTCTTAATTAAGGACTTAGGACTGGAAACGAATTTCTCTAGAGATAGGCAAAATTTGCTGTACACGGGCGGGATATAACTTTATGCCGTAAAAGTATCGCATAATTTTTACTTTGAACAGTTCCTTTTTTTTTCTGAGTTACCGAAATGTTTTGCTATTAAATGTTTTAATATACATGCCTTATAGGTTCGATTTGTTGTTAACACTTTGTAGTAAAACCAGTTCCGTTGATAGTATCAACGGTTACGTATTTAAAAATTATTTTTTTTTGTATCTTATGGCATCGCAAATGGTGAACTCGATTTGGTCTAAAAAAATGAATGTGCTATTTTCGCTCTAGTTTACAGAGTGGAACGTAAAAGTAATTTTTCAGCTTTAAAGCAGCATACTGGCGTTTTCTGTATGTAAAGATCGACGTCTTAGTTACATTGCAGTATGGCGAAATCTAGGCGGGACAAGCAAGGTTAGGGTTTTATTTTCCACGTATTAGTTGTATGACGGCCCTTCTGTAGATCGTAGGTGCAAAGAGTAGATGCTGTTTTAAGTTCTAGGTTTCTTTTGAACGTCGTTTGAGAGGGTGGATGTTTTTTTGATTAGTGACTGAGTTCTTTTGAGGTTTTATCAGAGAAATGTTGTGTGCGCAGTCTCGAACTACATATATAAGTGCACTTTTTTAGCCGTGTTTTTGGAATTGGTCTTGATTTGGATGCAATAGTAAGGTTTTAAGAAATCTTGGTATTCGAAAATTGGTTTTTTAGTTTCTGGTCATGCTTTCAGGACTTCACCATGAAGTATATTTTCCTATTGTCACTTTACATTTTAGTTTCTCTTACAAAAGTTAAGAAGAATGGGAAAGAGCTTAAAAAGAACTTGCTAGCAGAAGTTAGGAGATGTGTCGATGCGTACCAAAATTTATTTGTTTTCTCTGTCGATAACATGAGGACAACAAAGTTTATAAAGGTTGCTTCTTACGTGTTTTTCAAGTGCCAGAGAATTTTCATCTTTAATTGGAAAATGAATGGCTCACTGGTGCGGTGAATTTTTACCGAGGGAAGTTTGATTTATGGTACTCATAGTCGACTTCATGAACGGTTTTCAGATTCGGCAGAGGTTTAAGACCAATTCACGTTTCATTTTTGGCAAAAATAGTGTTCTGGCTCTTGCTTTGGGTAGAACAGTCGGGAGCGAGCATGCTAAAGGACTCAGTAAAGTTAGTCTTATTTTTGTATCATGAAATGGACTGCGTAGATGCTATTATTAAGTTTGTTCGCCGGAAGTAACAGTAATTTTTTCTTTGCCGTTTGAAGGTGCTTTTTTTGGAATATTTAGGTGTTACTTGAAGTAATCTGTCTTCTTCCGGAGTTTCAAAATAACTTTTGTTAAGTTTTTTCACATCCAGTGATGTCAAATCTTCGCTCTCAATTTATTTTTTTCAGTTTACCATTTGAAAGCTGACTTCACATTGACATTTACTGTAGTTTAAACACTTTATTAATGTGTGGTGAATGAGATCAAGACAGTTTCTTCATTTGTTGACAAGTCTTTAGAGAATTTATATGATTTTTTATAGGTTAGTGCCTTACTAAAGGGGACACGAGGATTAATGTTCACGGATGAGGATGTGGATACTGTGATCAAGTATTTTTCAAAATATTTTACAACCGCTGTTTTAATATTGTCTGAAATGTTCTTTGCTTCCGTTGCCTCCTTTTCTTTTGACATGTATTGTTTATCTCAAATAGATGGTTTATCTTACTGGCTTGAATAGTCGGCATTGTTTCATTTTGCTTGGATAATAACCGGAAGAAGCGCCTTGTAGCTGTTTTTATTGGCAAGAAAGGATTGAATATTGATTTAGGTTTTTTTCTTCTTATGAGGAAAGGGACTATTCTCGAGGAGGTGAAATTGCTTCAAGGACCGTCGAGTTATCTGAAGGTCCAGTTCCTCAGTTCCCCTTCTCTATGGAGCCGCAGTTGAGAAAGTTGGGGATGCCTACAAAATTAAACAAAGGTGTTGCTTTAATAGTTTGAAGTTTTATTAACAAGTGACATGAGATGTATCTGTTGAGTGTCTTTTTTATGAGTAACAATTCTGTTTTTGCAGGTACAGTAACGTTAACGAAGAACTTTTCTGTTTGTCAGGAAGGAGTGAAGCTTTCTGTGGACCAAGCAAGGATTCTTAAGTTCATGGGAGAAGAGCTTTCTTCTTTTAAAGTTAACCTTCTTGCAAGCTGGAATAAAGAGAGCGGGTTCAGGAAGTTATGATTTGCTTTTATTGAAAAAAATTTGCTTGAAGAATATTGGTTTGTGTCATATCTGTTTTTAACTTCAGTGAAGGCTAGCTGTTTTTGTTAAATAATTGCTCCGTTGTATTCTTCACTTTTTTCTCTATTATTTGGTTCCTTAATTGAGTCATTGTTCCTGGTTTTGACTCTTTTTTTATTTGAGTCTTCTAAAAGATTAGTCTCCTAATTTTGTGACATGATTTTCCGCCATTTTTTAAATACTTCTTTGTTAATTAAACGTTGTAGTAATTGTAAATTACCTTATTCATGGAAGAAATTTTTGAAGTTGTTACTCAGTAATAATTGGCCTTAGAGCACTTTAAATGTTAAGCGTTAGAGCATATGAACTGAAAAGTTTTTCGTCACTGGGAATTATGCTGTTGATTCGAAGTTGAAACTTTGTGTTTTTATTACTATGATTTAAAAAGATTTACTGTTGAACAAACAGTTTTCACTTGCAGTCTAGTACACCGCTAGATTTCAGTACCACGTTTTTTTTCTCAAAGGTAATATTGCTTTTTATAATGTGATCGAGTTTGTTTAAAAAGAAGAATTTCTTTGGACACAGTGATAATTAGATCCAGGATTAGTTGGATTTTCCAGCTGTTGCAATCCTGTTATGGACCAGATGTGAAGTTTTTCCTTGGGTTTGTTACTTTTATAGTTCCAGGTTTATGAAGAATTTGTTCTGCAGAAACCGATTTCGCGTATTAAGTTATGTTCGTGCCCTTTATTCGTCTGGTAAGTTTCCGTCAAAAATCAATCCAAATCTTTGTTTTGCTGCGCCATGTTTTTATTTCATGCATTTTTTTTATTCTGAATGAAGTTGTCGTCAATTACCTTTAAAAACTTAGCAAAGCGCAACGCTTGGCCTCAAAGCAGTCAGGTTGCCAACAGTGCATTAAAGTTAACAATTTTCTTTAGTTTTAAAATTCTCTCTTGGTTTTCTGTAATTTGTTGTAATTAGAGCGTAGAAAAAGTATTGTTTTGTAAGTTATTAACATGGTGAGAAGAAATATTGTGAAGAGCAGAGCAGTATAGGTTTAAAGTACGTATCAAAGTATGCTTTGTCAAATTAGCTTATAATGATTGAAGAAACTTTCAGACTTTGGATTTAAACAGTTTTGATTTTATACTTTTAAGTTAGTCATATTGCTGTATTTGTGCCCTAAAAAGTTCTTTTCATCATTAATGTTTTTTCAGCGATTTAAAAAATCACTTAATTAAGCCTTTTTTTCATGAAACAATTGGGATATAATTTGACTGTAAAAAGTACTGTATTTTGTATGATTAGTTCTGGAAGGTCTCCTAGGGCTGTCGTTCTTTTAGTCCAGTCATGGCGTTTCATTGCTGTTTCAAATCTAAAACTTTTGAATTTGCACTTGTTCACAATAATTATAGCAGTACAAAGAATCCGCCCACTGTTTAGCTTTAAGTTACTTAATTTTCAAAACAGAATTGCCGCAATAAAAGAAATGATATGATGTATGTTGTAGAGATGGGCTTGCTCCATTTTTTTATGCCTGGGTGAATACGCTGTGGAGTTGATTAATGGCGTAAAAACTTTCTTCAAATTCCAATCATCATTCTAAATCATTGAAGGGAAAAGCTTTAATTTAACGCAGTCTAAATCAGTTTGGTAGTCTCATTATTGGATTTTATTATTTTCCAACAAACACTTGGAAACAGTGCATGAAACCTTAGAAATTGTTAAGTTTGCATGCTTTTAGAAATGAGCATTTAGACGCAGAAGGCCTTGTACTACAGAGGAAAACTAGATTGTAAGTTTTATTGCGTTAGACTTCTGTCCTTTTTTCGATTTGATGATGTGATATACCGCGAAAATGCGACTGCTTAATTTGAAGCAACTAACATTTCTTCTCCTTTACCAATATAGGATCTATTCAAGAAGATACAATGTCTTCGTTTGCGATTTTATTAGGTGATGCCTACAAACTCAGTCATAACATTATTTTTGGGCAGGAACTGTTTGAATCTTCAGATTAATGTAACATTTCAGAGCATTACAAGTAATAGCTGGTAATTTCACTGGTACTTAAAAGCAAGTGATTTAAAATTTTGCTTTATTAGTTTTCTTTTGCGCTGTATGAGTACGGTACAGCAGACGCGTATTTCTACATTCTCCGCACTCACAAAAATCTTTTTAACTATATCATTGGTGCTCTTTGTTGAAGGAAGTTACGGAATTTTTTTGTGAGGAGTGCGGTTTGTTGAGAGCTTTTTATTTTATTTTTTTTGAATACCTTTGAAGTTTTTTTATTTTTTTCCTTACTTTATCGATTATGATTTTAAACCAATTTTTCTGTTTAAGGATCAGGCCAAGCAAAAAAAAAAGTACTGGAAGGAAATGGTCAGCTGGAGTTTAGTAAAAGCCAGGCATATTATGGTGCAGACAGAGAAGTTAATGTGACACCGATTTTCAAATACGATTATTTCCAGTCTCACAAATTTAGAAGAACTAGAGCATGCATTTGGCTTGCTAGTGTTTTGGCTGCGTTTGTTTACTTTTATTACCTTAGGTAACTTCTCGTTATGTAGTTGCTTTAGGCTATACTCATTGTTAACGACAGGAGAGAGGCAGAGTAATTAATATCTGCAAATTTATCGGCGGTGGGTTAATAGTAAGAAAAGAGTGTTCTTGTTGGCGGGACACTCCTTTTAAATTTGAGAGTAACGGAATTAGGTTTTCAAAGCTCAAATGTATTAGGTGGAACTAGTTTACGCCATGAAAAGTGTGATTTCAGATGCTCTTTTGCAAAAAAAAGCTTAGGAGTTTTTAAAAAATTGATTGCTGTGATGACCTAAGTTTAAGTGTCATAGTTTCTCCCATGTACATTTTCAAAATCATTTAGGGAGCCATCGGATATTGATTCACTGTTGAACTGTCCGCCCTACGTGCTTACTGCAGAATGCGAAAGAAGAGAGTTGCGTAAAAAGATCGCAGATGCCAGAAAGCGTGGGAAAAACACAGTTTTGCTAGAAGAGGAGCTTGAGTTTATTGATGTTAAAGAGCAGGCTATGAAGAAGCAATACCTGGACAGTCAAGTGTAGTTTAGAAAGTAGAACTGTTGCTCTTTGTATACAGCAAGTTTCTCTCATCTTCTTTGGTTAGATTTTGAATCTCAGTCAGCAACGTCCCTTCTTAATAACTTTAGTTGCTGTTCTAAGATAAGTACTCAAAGATTTTATTGTAGCTTACTACAGTAAACAAGTACTTCGTGATGACTTTCGTAGACGTGAGAGATTCTAGTTGATCAACTTAGGTCTCTGTTATCAATATGGTACCTCATTAGCTGTTAATTAGTTGTAGACAATTGTAGTATTTTTGTTAAAGCATTCTTGTATAAAAATCTTTGGTATTGTAGTGGTCTAATAGGCGTGTGAAACTACGAAATTCTTGGTTCATTTCGCGAAATTACAATGCTATTTTGAAAGTATGACTGCTAACAACTGACTGTGCATAAATATAGTTATAGAGTTATAAAATGACACAAAGCCTGAAGAATAGAAATGCTTAGCCTCATTATAAATCTCTTTAATTTAACGTTTCAGACCACTGTGAAATGGAATGAAGGTCAGTTACGTGTTTTTCTTGGCACATTAAAGGGTGAGTAGTTTACATTTGAGTGTATTAATACAACACTTGTCAATAGTTTTGATTGCCATATCCAGTTCGTTCTATACAGACCTTGGAAGGTCGGTTTCTGAAAGCTGATTTTAAGTTTCCAACTACATTTTACTGAGTGTATATCATCCACATCTTCATTAAACGTCTTAAAATTTTTGTTACACAAGACGAGAAGACAACTTACATCACTCAGGACTGTTCAGAAAAGTTCTGGTCTGCCTTACGAGTTTTTAAGGGAAGGTGAAGGCGCCAATTAGGTTGTGGAGGTCTGTCAGTTTTGGACAAGAGTATTCGAGCGTGGCTTTTTGGGGCTTGTCAGGCTGCTTGTGTGAAGTCTTTTTGTCCTCCGCTCAACTTTTTTCAAAAAACTTATTTCCCAGTTCATTTCATCGTCTCTGAGTGAGGTACTGCTTAACTCTTCTCAACAAAAGCCTTTTTGAAACTGTACGAGGATGCAAACGGACAATTTTGTTCTTTTTTTGCTAGTCATGCTATGTCGACGAGTTTATCTTTCAGTGTTGCTGCCGTTTACCCCCACCATTGTATTTGCGGGATCTATAAATTGACAAAAAGGAAATACGGCACGACTGCACACATACAGTGGATACCTCTCAAGTCCAAAAAAGCTGAAAAAATTTCTGCAAACCTAATGGCCCCAACGGTAAGCGTAAGGAAGCCACAGGAAGAAACTTATACTTTTGGCCCGTCAGACACGTGCCAAAATGTTTATGTACTTTAAAGTGCCTACCGACACGTACCTCCCCAATCAGTGGTTTACTGTCTCCCAAACAAAACAAGCAGTGTCCTTTATTTTGTGCTAAAATTGTATGAAGTCCTCAGGTTGCAGACATCTGGGTAGTACCCACATACACCTTACAGAAGACCTGCCATATGTTAGAACGTGCTGGTGAGTAATCTTTTATTATGACAACTGGACACAAAGCTCCATACGCCATAAACGTATAAATTTCTCGACGAATACCAGTCTTACCATTAAAATAAGAAAGGAAATACAATATCGTCGTATTCATTCAAAGTATTACTAGACCTGGAAGAACGCAAAAGATATATTGGCAGTCAAATTTTTTTTTTCTTTTGCAGAAAACAGTTAACCAAACACGTATTATGAGTCCACCTCGGACGTTCAGTCGCCGAAATTAGGTACTGTAAATAAAAATATATAAAAAGAAAAAGTAGCACAGCAGTTATCAACAAAAATAAATGGAATTCCAATGTTAAAGTTCAATATTATAAGTTATTTTCTTTTTTTTTCTTTTTGAACAGATAGAAAATACATGAAAAGTGTCTGCTCAATGTGTACTGGAAAGAGAACATTACGCCATGCGACTAAAAGAAAACAACATTTGTCCTTTTCGTCACGGAAAGCCTCACAAAAGTGAGGACCAATCGTAACGTTACATTGTGCTGCCTGCAAAACAACCGGAATGACTCTTCGTACAAAAAGTTACAAGTAGAAGACAAGAAGATGCAACAGTATCTAAACCCCATGGCATCAGTGCCTGAATTAAGAATTTCGCTTGATTTGACCGCATGTGTAGCTCGTAGAAAAAAGGCATAAAAGTAGAAATACAGTAAACGCAAAATGGAAGTACACAAAGTAGTTTTCAACAACTGACTCATTCGGCTGACTGTTCTTTACGCTTATCTCCATCAGGATCTAACGGTTGCCACTGCATGTCAGCAGCCTCCTTCGTTAACATCAAAATTTCATATTTTTCATCAGCAGATTGCTGTGGGTTCGGGCATAAGTTAGCTGTTAAACTTGTGCTAACCATCTGTGGTTCAGGTGGCGAGTGCATCTGCTTACGTTCCTCAGATTTTGATTCATCTTGAATCTCCTGTACCTGGCTTATCTTGACAACATGGGCACTCTCGTTTTTGACTTGGTCGTGCTTTTGAGCATTACGAGCGCTGGCTTCTTCCGGAAGCTCTGTTGCGACCGGATACAATGGTGTGAAGGTGAAACCTTGATCATCTGCCTTATACATTGCAGCTTCATCCGAATCATCAACGTACTGAGCACCAGCGACGAATGGTTGGTACAAAAAATTAGTACCCTTCCCAGGTGCGACAATTGTTATTGGCATTTGTAATAAGAGCTTACCACCCACAGAAATCTAAAAAAACGTGTACTCTGAAGAGCGAAGCTTTTCCCTTTACAGTGACGTTCAAAGTTTAAAAAAAAA